GCTTCACTGCAATCACAGCTGCAGTTCTTGGGGTATTTGTGAAGCATCATGACACTCCCATTGTCAAGGCCAATAACCGCTTTCTCAGCTACACCTTGCTCATCTCACTCCTCTTTTGTTTCCTCTGCCCCTTGCTCTTTATTGGCCATCCCAATGCAGCTACATGCATCCTTCAGCAAATCACATTTGGAGTTGTATTCACAGTGGCTGTTTCCACTGTGTTGGCCAAAACAGTTACTGTTGTTCTGGCTTTCAAAGTCACAACCCCAGGAAGAAGGATGAGGTTCTACCTGACTTCAGGGGCTCCCAACTATATCATTGGCATCTGTACCCTCATCCAAACTATTCTGTCTGCAATCTGGCTGGGAGTTTCTCCTCCATCTGTTGACATTGATGCACACTCTGAGCATGGCCACATCATCATTGTGTGTGACAAGGGTTCAGTTACTGCTTTCTACTGTGTCTTGGGATACCATGGCTCCCTTGCCTTTGGGAGCTTCATTGTGGCTTTCTTGGCCAGAAATCTCCCTGACAAATTCAATGAAGCCAAGTTGCTGACTTTCAGTATGCTGTTGTTCTGCAGTGTCTGGGTCACCTTTCTCCCTGTCTACCACAGCACCAAGGGTAAGGTCATGGTGGCTGTGGAGGTCTTCTCCATCCTGGCCTCCAGTGTTGGTCTTCTGGGATGCATCTTTTTCCCTAAGTGCTACATAATTTTGTTAAGACCAGAGAGAAATTCCCTCCAAAAGTTAAAGGGGAAAACATCTTTCTGAACTGACAGATCCTAAACTGAAACTGACAACTTTAATGCTGGTATATTACCACCTTTTAGGATACAATGCAAGATGTATGCATTAGCTTTTGACTCTCACTCTTTCTTAAATGACAATGCCTAGAATCATCATATATACTACTTTTCTGTACATATTCTCCTGTAAACGTCCATCAAATACTTATTCTGTAAGACCTGACTATTGGACATTATTCCTGTGCAGATGTTCTATTATTTGTCTAATATACATTAAGATTTGAAATAAACTGTGTTCTTTCGATGTCTGAATGAATGTGTGACTTTGACAGCACTTGAATGGTGAAACTTAATACAGCATGGTGTTTTCACACTCAATTTCCCCCTACCTACCCTCTCTCCAATATCCACTATGCCTCCCTTACCCTATCAAAAAGAGCAAGTTATCAAAAGACAAACCCCATGTGTGACAAAAAAAAATACACAGTAAGAAAAGGCAAAGAACATGTCTTTAAGTGTTTCTCACCAATTCAAGTTTCTTCTTTAGTGAATTCTGGGTTTAGATCTCTACCACATTTTAAAATTGGATTATTTGATTTTTGATATCTAGTCTCTTGAGTTTTTATATATTTTGGATATTTGTCCTCTATCAGATATGGAGATGGTAAAACCCTTTTTATATTCCTTAGGCTGCTGCTTCGTCTCAGTGATAGTGTCCTTTGCCTTAGAGGAGTTGTTCTGTTTCCTCAATCTCTATTTAATAATTGTTAGTCTTAGTTTGTGCACTAGTGGTGTTCTTTTCAGAAATTATTCTCCTATAAAAAAATCACTGCAATGTTCTCACCCACTTTCTTTTCTTGCAGGTTCAGGGTATCTGGTTTTATGCTAAGGCACGTGATAAATATGGACTTGAGTTTTGAGCAGGGTGATCAGTATGAATCTGTTGCAGGATGTCTTCTATATGCAGATATTTGTTGAAGATGCCTTATTTTTTCAACTGTGTATTTTTATCT